TCTGGAGTTTAGCTCGTTTTAATTTCTCCCTGGGCAGAGTCCCTGTTTGCGTATCTCAGAGGTGCTCGTGTTCTGTGTTGCGGGCCCCGCGGGGGAAGAAACCACTACCTGCGCTTGGTTAGGGGCGCTGGCTTTCCTTGTACTTTCCTGTACGTATGTGTGAATTCACCCATTGTAAAGAGCCCTTTGTGTTTTCGGTATTATGCGAGGTGCTATGGGCAATACCAGGGTAAGTAAGACTTATAAGTAGCTCACAGCCTGATAGGCAAAAAGGACTCGGTGACTCTTAACACGTGTGATTATGTGCCCCAAGAGAGGGACAGTGCTGTGGAAGGCCTGAGAGAGTAGCTATTAAGCCGGGACTTCGGTTCACTTCAGTAAATCTTTCATGTATTCGGCCCGTGTTTATTGAGCACCTCATATCTGCTAGGCACTGGGCAAGGTGGCAGGTGGACAGTGCTACATAGAACAGGCATGGTCCTTCCTCACATGAAGCTTACATGGACTGATGGTGGTGTTATGAAATAAACAGCATGAGTGATGGATGCGGAAGAGAGTGTAGTTGGGGCAGGTTTGCCTGAAGAGGTGGTGTTTAAACCAAGATAAGGAGTCAGTCGTGCCTAGGAGTTGGGGCAGGGGGTGCTGGGGGTGGGAAAGAATACTCCAGGTAGGGAGAGGTACACAGGTGAAAGGCGCAAGGCGGGAAAGCCTGTGGAATGTTGGGGAAAGTGAAAGGAGGCAGTGTGGCTAAAGCCTAGAGGGGAAAGGAAGAGAGAAGAGGGTGAAGGTTACGATCAGGGGAAGGTTAGGAAAATGATGGAGGGGCCTGGTGATGCAGGGGATTTTCCTTCCCTTATTCAGCAGCTGTATACCAGTATATGAGCAAAATTTCTCTCTGAGTTGGCATAGAATAGTCCTCCTAGTCTGTAATTTTTTCATAAGGGGCAGGAAAAATCTGTTACTCCCAAGGGCCGATGTCTATTCATTGGCTTGCCTATAGTTCCCCTTTCTGATTTCAAATGTGAGCTCCCCGCTGGACTTGGGTTTGGAGACCTGAGTTTGTACTGCTGCTCTGTTACCAACTTGCTGTGTGACCTTAAAGGATCCTTAACTTCTCTGGGCCTCATTTTCATCTGTCAATGGGAATGATGCTGATCTGATCCCAGGGTCATTGTGAAGATCGAATAAGTATCTTAAACTGCTTTGTAAAATATGAAGTGCTGTAGACATATGAGCTATCATTATTATTTCAATGAAAGATTTCTTATCAGTGAAATAAGAGTTGAAAGTGAAGCATGCCACCAGGAAAGGGCAGAGTGTACCTTCCAGGCAACCCCGAAATGGCAGATTCAGCATAGGTGGCTCTCCTTCAAGAGCCTGTTGTGAATGCTGTTCCTCTTTTCTCTTTCATTTCATCCACTGGGATAAACCATTTCCTTCCTTTCTCCTTCCAACAGAATGGGTTACAAAACAATCCATTTCACTTCTCTGGATTCCAGGACCCATTTGATATAGAAGCCAGAGCATCTGCTTGGAGGCCAAGAGAGCCTTGTGAGCAGAGATGCTGCGGTTTACTGGACTTTGGTTCCCGGCAAACATAGATGCCCGGGTGTATATTTAATTGGGTTTGGGGAGAAAGGCAATTACGGGCACAGAGCCACGAAAAACAGTCAACAGTGCAGAAGCGGCCCACACACCACCTAAGCAGGGCAGTTTCAAGCCAAAGCTTTAGGCTTGCTTTTGGATTTTTAAAGGGGAGCATTTTTATTTAAGTAAAAAAAAAAAAAAAAAATTCCTTAAAAAGTGACATAAATGCTTAGGAAATAAAGTGCACTCTTTTTTCCCTTTCATGAAGCTTTTTAAAAAAATATGTCTTCCAGCTATTAAAATGATAGGTTGGAAGACCTGTTCTATTTGACCAAAAGAGAAAGTGTCAGTAAGCGCAGTTAACTGTCCCATGTAGATAAATGGGTAGCGTGTGACACAGTTTACCAGCATGCTTTCTCTGCTCTCATTAGTTTGTTGTTGTTTTTGTTTTCTTCATTAGTTTTTCCTAAAGTGATGCATATGCTTGTTGTAGCTAGACAATTTGAAGATGTATAAAGAAAAAGTTTGTGATCTCTCCCCTCTCCCTGCTCCCCATTTCCATCCTTCTGAGATAACCACTGTGATCAGTTTGGTGTATATCTTTCCATACCTTTCTCCAGGCTCCTACGTGAATGGATACTTTGTGTATGTATGTGGTTTTTATGTTTTGTCACAAGTGGAATTGTACTTTATTATTTTGCAGTTTATTTTTCCCACTAAATAATACATCATGGGTAGGTACAAATTTGATTCACTCTTAAATAACTTCAGGGCTGTAGATCTAGAGGTACCACAGTATATTCAACCATTTCTCCTTTGGCAGATACTCGAGTTATTACCATTTTTTTTACGAAAACTATTGTTGCGTTAAATATCTATATGTACATATCTTTCTTCACTGGTCCTTTTGTTTTTATAGATTATATTTTCAAAAATAGTATTGCTGGGTTAAAGGGTATACGTACTTGACATTTTAATAGATAAAACTGTCCTACTTTACAAAGAGTTCTTATAATTTACATTCTCCCCAGCAATATGTGAGTACTTCCATTTCCCTAAGTCTTTACCAGTATTAGATATTCTCTCTTCTTTCTTCCATCTCTCCTTCCTTCCATCTCTATTGTTTTATTTCTGACCAAGCTGATGGGAAAATGGTGTTTTATTTTTGTATATTCTTTACTGCTAGTGAAATTCAGCATTGTTTCGTGTTAATTGACCATTTCATTTTCCTCTTCTATGAATTTCCTTTGCACATTTTTCTTATGAATTATTTGCCTTTTTCTCAGCAAGTAGTAGGAGCTCTTTATGTGTTTATGTATTAAGGATTTCATATGTGTTACAAATATTTTTCCTAATCTATTACATGTTTATTAATTTGTTTCTGTATTTTTCTTCACAGTGTCTGGATTTCTTGCCTTGTTTAGGAATAACTTCCCCACCTCAAAGTTACATAAATATTTTCCTAAATGTTTTTCTAATACTTTTATGGTTTTAATTAATTTAATCCTGAATGTTTAATCCCTTTGGAATTTATGTTTATACATAGCAAGAGGTAGTGATCAAGCCTTTTTCTAGATGGCCAGCACCATTTATTAAATTAGCCATCTTTTCTATTTTGTGTTGAAACCCATCCTTGTCATAAATAATTTGCTTTATTGTATCTGTTTCTGAACTTGCTATTCTAATCCACAGCTTATTTGTCTATTCTTATGTTAATACTATATCTTTTTATTATAATGTCTTTATAGTAAGCTTTTCTTGTAAGACAGATGCCCTATTTATTTTTTATAATTATCTTTACTATTTCTTGGCTAATTTTCTTGAGTACTTATTATTCCATATGAACTCTAAAGTAATTTTTTTTATTCACCCATCCAAAAAAACCTATTGGTAATTCTTATTGGAATTTAATTAGAATTATGCAGTCACTTGAGAAGGATGGCATTTTTGGATAATTAGGCTTTTCTACCCAGGAGCATGCTAACTGGTTTGCAACTTATGCATTCTTTTTCTATATTTTGTTGCTTTTACCTTTAGAATTTCTATATGCATCATGGATGTATTATCTAAAATTAAACAGTATTTCTGTGTTTGCCCTGAATAATCAAAAACCTTACAACATTTAACTCTGATTTCTCTTCCATCTTCAATGTTATTATTGTCAAACATGTAATATTGTCAATATTATCAAATACGTTTTTACCTCCTCATTTAGCTCTGTTTCACTCAATCAGTACTTCTTTAAATTTACCAATATACTTAACTAATTTTGCTCACTGTTGATTCTAAAATCTCACTTATTTTCTGTGTTCAATTTCTCTTCTGTTGGAGAATGTTTTTGGAGTTTGTCAATGGTAAACTTGCTCAGTCAGTTTTTGTCTGAAAATGTCTTTTGCCCCCACTCTTTTTTTTTTTTTTTTAGTTAATTTATTTATTTTATTTATTTTTGGCTGCGTTGGGTCTTCCTTGCTGCGCGCTGGCTTTCTCTAGTTGCAAGTGAGCAGGAGCTACTCTTTGTTGCGGTGTGCGGGCTTCTCACTGCGGTGGCTTCTCTTGTTGCGGAGCACGGGCTCTAGGCATGCGGGCTTCAGTAGTTGTGGCTCGCGGGCTCTAGAGCGCAGGCTCAGTACTTGTGGCGCATGGGCTTAGTTGCTCCATGGCATGTGGGATCTTACCGGACCAGGGCTCAAACCTGTGTCCCCTGCACTGGCAGGATGATTCTTGACCACTGCACCACTAGGAAAGCCCTGCCCCTACTCTTGATATTTTAGAATTTTAGATAGCATGTATAATGATTATATGGAAGTTATGTATGCCTCTGTAAAAGTTTTCAACTAAAACAGAAATAGTTAATGTAAAAAGTGAAAGTCTTTCATTCCTTTTTCTGAGTCCCAAAGAGAGCTGCTGTTCATAGTTTGCTGTTTGCCTTTTTCTATGTAGATTCAAAAATTTTGTATATACACAAACGGTGTACATTTTCCTAAGCATAAACAATCATGGTCATTTTTTTTTAAAAAAAGCAATAATATATACAATTTTACACTACTTTTTAACAACAGAGCATGTACATTTTCCCATGTCAGTATGACAAAATCTCCCTCATTCTTTCTAACGGCTATGTAGTTTCTCATCATATTGATACACCATAATTTAACTCTTTTCCTATTAACAGACATTTAAGTTGTTTCCTCTCTTATTTTTTTTTTACTTTTACACAATATGTTTTACTGAACATTCTTTTACTTATGTGAGCATATTTATAATATAAATTCCTAGATATCTGACTGATCCAAAGGATGTGTGCAGTTAATATGTTAATAGATGTTGTTAACTTGTATTCCTAAAATACTGTTTAAGTTTACAACCCTAGAGTATGTCTGGCTCTAATTTTTGTTTTTCTTCTGGTTCCTTAGAATTTCCGTATTGATTAGTCAACAGTGGAAAATCTGAAGAGATGCGAGCTGGAAAAAGAAACTAAACCAGGTGGGTAGTCACATTGTTCATACCACTACTGTAGCATCACAAATGTTTACCTAAATACCTTTATTTCCATTTGAAGAGGGAAAAGAAATAGATTCCAAATGAAATTGGAGAGGAATGTGGGCCCCATGAAGAAGAGGCAGGATGGCCCTTTTCAGAAGTTATATAACATTACTCTGCAATTTCAGTCATGATTCCATTTACATAGTTTCTCTATAGCAAAAGAAAGACAATTTACTTCTGGTGGCTTAAAAGAGAATGGGTTTCTTCAGCCATCTACTTAAGCAGATGGAATCATTCACAGGAGTTATTAGCAAACCTAGTCATGATGCCAACTTTCCTGTCCACCAATGGTTTGTTATAAAGGTATTTTCATAAAGACTAGGGCACATTTGGGGAATTTTAATACTGTGATACAGGAGCAAAAGCAGGCAAAACCCAGCGCATAGAAACAAGTACAGCCCAGTGATCTGATGAGGAGAGATGGTGCAGGTCCGTTCCAGTTGTAAGAAAAATGCAGTTCATACAACATAGAATGGCCTGCCTGGAAGTGTGGCCACCTTGGGTTAGTGTTCATATTTTTATGGTATCCAAACATTTTCTAACAGCTTCTGAGCCGTGGTCCACCCACCTCCCTTGCCCCCAGCTCGCCTACCCCTTTCCAGCTCCATCCTGTTGCATTAGGGCAGAATCTCCAGCCTTTAGTACTCTGTCCAAGTCCTAGTAGTCCTGGGAATTTGGGGGGTTTCCAGCTCCTTTGAATTCCCTCTCATGGCCTGGCCTGCCTCTAGCACCTCTCCTAAGATTCCTCTTCTCTGTTGGCAGAGCAAGAATCTTATCTGGAAGGCAGTTGCCCTGGGTCTGGAACTCCCCAGACCCAGGGCAACTGCCCTGGGCCTTGCCCTACAGTAGCTTCCTGAGCCACCAGGTTTGTGTCCTGTTCTGACTCAGTGCTGCTGGGAATCCCCTGGATGCATATATTTGCAGTGACTAGGATGCGGCAGTCAGCTCCCAGGACTGTTTATCTGGCCAAGATCAGAGGACCTTCTATTCCAATTGCTGTGGGAGCATTGGGTCCCAGCCACTGAACCTTGAAGTTTAGAGCCTGGGTTTTCAAACAGGCTTCTGGGGTTCAAGAGTTCCCTGTAAACATGGGTACAGTTTTGTATGCATACACACACACGTACTTTTCTAGGCAAAACGTCTGTAGCTTTCCTCAGATTCTCAAGTGTGTCTGTGACCTCTGAATTGGAAGAATCATTGGTCTCGAGAGAGCCTCAAGTGGTGTGGGGCACTGCGTCCCCTTGGGCAGCAGCCTCCCAGGCTATCTTGGGCGACCTCACCAAGCCTCTAGGTTTTTCTGTTTAGGGTTTAACTGGGACAAATTAGCTAATATCGCTGAAGCTCAGAGCCATCTTATGGGATGTCCCAAAGTCCAGTCATGGAATTGCACCCCCAGCCCCTGTTTCACCTCACTGAGCACACTGTGCGGGTTTTCTGGTTTCCGAGTCTGCAGCTCGGAAGGGCTGCTGCGGCAGCTACACTGACGGCAGTGGGAATCGTGTTGATAGCTAAATTTCAGTCTGGCTTACCACTGCCAGGAACAGCGTCAGATACTTTGTACACCTTATCTTATTTGATCCTTACAACTTTCCACGGAGGTTGGAACTGTTATTTTACATATGGAGAAACTGAGGCACAGAGAGATTTTTTTTGTAACTCACCAGAGACCACACAGCCAATAAGTCAGTAAGTAATACGTGACCCAAGCACATGAGCTTAACCACCAAGCTTTATGGTGAAAGTAAAGGGCATTTTTAGAAAAATAAAGCAGAAAAAATATGGGGCTGTTTAGTGTAGGGCAAACTGCCCTGTATCTTATAATAATACTAAGAACATTGCCGTGTTATACCAGATATGAAAAACTATGCACACAGCACTGATCTTAAATCATTAAGAAAAGGTTAGTGGGTAATACACTAATGCGTTAGTGCAATACCTGAGAAGAGTTTCTCTCCTTTGTAATTCAGATAAGCTTTATGGAAATATAATTCACATACCATACAATTCAGCCATTTAAAGTCTACAGTTCATTGGCCTTCGGTATATTCACAGAGTTGTGAATCTATCACCATAATCAGTTTTAGAACATTTTCATTCCCCCCAAAAGAAACCCCATACCCTTAACTCATCACCCTCCCAAGCCCCCAACCCTCCCCAGTCCTAGGCAACCTCTAATCTGCTTTCTGTCTCCGCATAAGGTTTTGATACTTAAAGGAGTAACAGTGTGGGAATCTTGGTGATCTGGTGTGAGTCATTCCCTGAGGAATAATTAGACAAATGAAATTTGACTCTAATGTATTTTATAAATGGCTTTATTAGCTAAGAAGCTACAAGCATGTCTTTGATATGCCCAAATTTAGGGTTGACATAGGCAAGAGACAAGTTTGTTTCTGAGTAATTTCCACTTGTCAACGTCACCTGTCAAACGGGCTCTTCTCAGCGAGTGGCTGTAAAACAATGATGGGTTCGTGGGGCCGCATTTCTCCATTGGTGGCAGAACCAGTGGTGGTTCAGCATAGGATCTTTTTTCTGCCATTGGAATCCCTGGCTTGCTTCTGTGTCTGCCTGGCTCTAGTTGTCAAAGTGAAGGGCAGTCATGTAGTTGCCCGTCACTCTGAAATTCAGGACGTACAACCACATGCTCTCTTGAACTCTTGTCACTTTAGCAGATCCGCTGTGTATCTCTCCTGACTCACTCATTCATTCGTTCTTTTTGAAAACACTTATTAGGCGCTCTGCACCTGGCACTGTGGTGGGTGCTCAGGCAGCCATTCTGAAAGCTCCTTCTCCTTATTAGTACAGTGCGTGGCCTTATTAGGCCCAGGTGGGCAGAGCCATTTGCACTGAGACAAGCCAGAGGGGCAGGGAGTTTGGTAACAGAACAGTTCTCTGATGGGGATGAGACAGATGCAGTATCATCCACATCAAGACAGAGCCGTCCCCAGAATGCACCCATCCTGAAGAATGTGCGAGGAGTCGGGGATGAGGAAAGCCAGGTTCAAGGCCTGATTTGGTCACTGACTGCTTAGAGGACCTGGGGTGATCCCCGCAACTTCTCTGAGCCACGGGCTGTCCATTATGAGGGTTAAATAATGCAGTGCCTCCCAAAGTACCTTCAGTACCAGTGCTGGGAAGAGTCTGTACGTAGTAAGTGTTGAATGAATGACTGAAGGGGTGAAGGAACATTCTGTGATTCTCAGAGCTGGAGCAGAACCCTAGCAGGTCAGGCGAGCAGGTGGAGACAGGTATAAATGAAGACCAAGGAGAACCTCCCTTTCTTCTCCCAGTCAGACCCTCCTGCCACTTTTGCCCCTTTAAGCTCGCCTTGTCCTCGGCTCCCACATCCTCTGCTTTCCTGAGCCAAAGAGAGACTCCGCCTTTGAGGCCTCGGGCCTAGGAGCCAGCCAGGCCTTTGTGTGTGAATCGGGGGCTCCGGTACATCTTCGCTGTGTGTAAAAGGGATCTAATTGTGCAGGGCTACAGGGAAGCGAAAATAGGATGACATGGAAAGCATTTCTTACCATATCTGATGCATAGCATATACACCCATAATTGGTAGCCGTTTTTATTTTATTCTTATCATTGTTGTTTGTTTGGTCAGGAGCCAGCGCTCGTATGGTGGTTTTCCTCACTGGCTTGAGAGTGCAAATGTTCTTCAGTTCTTATTTTGTTTGTTCATTAACGCATTCATATGGATATATTTATTGTGCATCTTCCACGCATCACGAACTGTGCTGTTTGCTGGGGATACAGTGACAAGAGAGTCAGGGTGCCTATCCTCCTAGAACCAGTTGGGAGGGCAGGTATGGGACAAGTGTATCAGCACCTGTATGGTGGCAAAGCAGGGAGCCCTTATCTTTTCTGCTGGGTCAGGGAAGAGGACACTCGGCCTGGGGGCTGGCCGTCCCTTGAAGACCCAGTGCCTCGAGGTAGGGGGCAGAGGGCTAGAATACTAAACCGAGGGGCTAGAATCCAGTGCAGACTGTGGTTACGTGGGCCGAAGGCACAGGGGAGTCTGTACTCTCTGCTCCAGTTGGATGGTTCCCGGCTTGCAGACATGTTATTCTTCCCGGTTCCAAGGGAGGCTCTTACTTCATTAGTAATCTTCTGTGTTGTGTTGTGTGGATTGTGGGCTCTGCTTCTGTCCGGCGGCAGGAGGAATGGCAGGCGAACTTTGTTTCTCCTTTGGTTTAAGACGGGAGGGCCCCAACTAGAGACGCCCTTACTGCCCCCAGGCCTAACTCCCCCTGCACTAGAGGGAGGCTCTGAGAACTGGCGTGGAAGGAGAGCGTTACAGCATTCATTTGGAAATGCCACAGAAAGGGTAAAGTCAAATCGAGCAAAACTCCGAGTCAGCTCTTGTCCTCCAGGACCCTGGAAGGTCCCGGCCACCGTCAGCCTTATCTCTCCCCACTTGCTGCACCCCAGCCCTGTGGCCTCCTTGCCCTCTTTCTGGACACCAGGCAGGCCCCGCCTCTTGCATGCTGTCCCCTCTGCCTGGCCCACTTTCCCAGGTATCTGCCTGCTCTCCCCGCTTCAGGTCCCTGCACCCGTGTCCCTCTTGTTCGTTAGTATGGGTCGCTCCAATAGAATTCGAGCTTCATGAGGGCAGAGGGTCTGTTTTATTCGTTGCTGAATCCCCGGTGCCCAGTGAGCAATAAATATGAAGGAGGGGAGGGAGTCATTTCCTTAAAGTTAGTGCCTGGACTCCTGAGCCCCGCTCTGCCTTGTACATCTTATTGTTACAGCCCTTAATGACCAAGCTTTTTAAAGATCCTTAAAGTTTTAAAAGATTCATATACAGCAGTGGTCCCTAAACTCTTTGTGCTCTCATTACATGTGTAAGCCATGACAATCTTCCATCGGTAACAGAGGCTGACAAGTGCAGTGATATTGGCTAGTAAGCACACACCGCATTCCCCGCCTGGCATTATTAGGAT